GAGACGGCCGCTGGGGGCGCTGCAGGCTGAAATACACAGGACACCAACAGATCAAGGTTCAAGTTCACGTGGTACATGAGGTGGAACGAAAGAACAGAAGACATTTTTTTTTTATTTTGTAGATTATTTGTTACATTATTCATTTTAACGTTTTCAAGAGAGACATGTTTTAGACAGATAACCTAAAGTACAGCCAACAATAATTCAACAAAAAGCAATTAAAATCAAATAAAAGAAGTTGTAAACACAGTCAGATCAAGATGACATGTAAAATACTAAAACCAACATATTAGAACATATTTGCTTTGATATTTCAATTGACATTATCAAATGTTTAAAATCTCTTAAAGAGATCAAAGTGGACAGCTTCAGATCTTTATGCATGGTGTCCCAGGTTACAGGAGCAGAGTAAGCCAAGGCCTTTTTGACGAGTTCAGTCTGCACTGAGGGAACGAGGTGGGCCTCATCAACACGGGGCCTGCTAACTTTTCAATGAAAATAACCATTTCTACCAATTTATTCACTAAATTAAATGCGTCAGGTGCCGCAAAACCAGCAACTACTGTAATTATCAACTAGTGGCCCGTGGACCACTTTAGGTTTGTTGGAGAGGGTTATAAAACAAAAAATATCTAATGATTTTTAACTTTTGATATTTTTACATTTTAAGACAAAAGAAAATAACAGATTCTTGTAACAAAGGGAAACAAGTATCACATTTTAATATATTTTTTATTAAAATAATTAGCTATGCAGGCTTTTGTAATTTATTGCACCGGTAATTGTGGAAAAACTCCTTAAGTATCCTACTTTGAAGAAATAAAGTATGTTTTACCCCTTGTATTACTTTTAGTATTAGCATAGTAGCAAAAGAAAATAACAGGAAATTTACTACCCCCACCCCCCACACTTATTATTTTTTTTTTTTTTTGTGTGTGTGGGTATAAAAACCAAGAAATTTCAGTTTTATGTTAGTTTTGATCTGCAGAGCTGCTGCAGAGGGACCAAAGAGCAGCATGTGGCTCCAGAGCTGTAGGTTGCAGACCCTTGTACTAAACTATAAATTTTAAAATTTTAATCTTCAACATGCTATAAATTAATAACTTTAGTTTAGAAAACAAGTCTTAAATATTAATAATTAACGTTCACGTCCTTTTTTCATTTATTTTTATATAACTAGCACAAACACTAAGGACCTTAGTATTTGCTTGATTACTCCTTTGTTGCAACAATGCTTCTTGGTATTAAACCTTATATCACTGGCAACATGTTTAATTTCCTCTTTGTAAAATAATACATTTGTGACTTGATAAGCAGAGATGAGTATGTGGACACGCTCGTGGAAAACTTGACAAACCTTCTCTGCCAGTGCCACACAGCTTCTTGTGCTACTTGTCTGGTGTTGTTTTGAAGAAACAAAACACATTGGGAATTTAATAATTTATTAATTTCTTGAACAGCATTCATCAGCATGTGGAAGAACCATACACAGCGAGAACAGCCTGGTATCTCCTCCTCATGCTGCTTCCCAGCCTGGACACAATCTACTGCGGGATGCATCTCATTCTTGAACCAGAATTTGTTGTAAATTAAACAGTATGGTTGTGTTGGTGGCAGCACGGTGGCACAACTGGTAGAGCTGCTGCCTCTCAGCGCGCAGGTCCCTGGTTCAAACCCCGGTCCAGGGGCCTTTCTGGGTGGAGTTTGCATGTTCTCTCCGTGCATGCGTGGGTTTTCTCCGGGTACTCCGGTTTCCTCCCACAGACCAAAAACATGCATGTTAGGCTGATTGGTAACTCTAAATTGTCCCTAGGTGTGAGTGAGAGAGAGAATGGTTGTTTGTCTCGTTTGTCTCTATGTGTCCCTGTGATGGACTTGCGACCCGTCCAGGGTGTACCCCGCCCCTCGCACAGTGATTGCTGGACATGGGCACCAGCGACCCCCGTGACCCAAAATGGAATAAGCGGGTAAAGATAATGGATGGATGGATGGATGGTTGTGTTGGTCACTCTGGAGCAAACAGCACGCCCAAGCTGATCCTACAGGTGTTCAAGGGGGTTGAGGTCAGGAGGACTGTAGGGAACCCATTCCATTCTCTCCACTCTCAAAATCTGGATGTCGTCTCTGATAAACCCCGCTCTGTGGGGGCGAGCATTGTCATCCAGGATAGAGTTTGGTCTCAGACTGAAATGATGGCATTGCCACTGGTTGTTCTTAGGTGCTGACAATCCAGTGCCAGTCAGTCACCAGATTATCAAGACCTGGAGTATCAGAAGCTCAAAACAAGAGTTAATATCAGAATAAGATGTTTGACATCAACAGAGAAGATTTGATGAATTTTTCATGGGTGCATCCCACGTACTCAACTCTGCTGCTTAACCCACAATGTGTTTTCTTTATAAATGTGACATCATTTAAGAGGAAATAAACAGGATTTCCAAAAGTGGGGATTTCAGCCTCATTTTGGGGGTCCCCAAGGATCCATAAATTGTAACTCAGCACCCCTGAAAATAAAGGAACAATCATTAAGATTTTGGAAGAAAACTCAGTTCTCAAACCATAGATTTATCAAAATATTGAATAAATATGGAATAAATTATGACACTCTTAAACAGTCCAGTAAAATCTATAATTTTTTTTTTGCGCGAGTCGGATCCTCAACGCCACCTGTCAATCAATCCAGCAGGCTTGTTAGCCACTGAGCAATCAGCGATCACAATTTGTCCTAATGTATAGGACATGTAACATTGTAGGATTTGTCAATATATAATGTTTTTTTAATGTGTGCAAAGAGTGCAAACATACTCGTCTGACCCAATGAACTAACCTTATTATTAAACTTGCATGGCCACCACATTGCTCAAGCCAAGAGACATTGTGAGCACTGGGGGCTAAGCACCCCTAAAGGTCAGATCCTAGCATCGCCCCTGATTTTCCAACAAGATAAGATTTATTACAACAAAGAAAGAAAAGCCCAAACGTTCTAACTTTTTTGAGTTGAGTTCATGATGGCCACACGGTGTCCCTGTAAGACAGTTGTTGAAGATCACTTTCAGTCTCCCTCAAGCAGGAAAGGAAGAACGTGGAAAGAGTAAAAGACGTGAGAGGCAATTAATTAACTTTTTATGCCAGATGAACCAATTTTTCAGCTGTTCCTCATTCACTTCATTCCTTGACCCCCTCTGATAAGTCAGTCACTGCTTGAGCAACAAATCATTGTTTCTATGAATGAAAAATGCCAAGATGAACAGTTCTGTTTTCAAATTTATTTATCTTTTTTTGTTGTTGTTTGTTTTAATATTAGCATCTACCTTTGAGACTCCCAGTTTACCTTCACAACTGATGGGTCTCAGCTTCAACACTGTCATCACCTGGTAAAAACAAGATAAAACGAGACATTACAAAGGAGTTTTTTGGCTCAGTGGCAGTGACCTCCCAGCTTAATGTAAACTTTCTAATCAGCAGATGGATTCTGACGTCCGGCGGTGCACAGCAAGTGAAGAGAGAGTTTTGTGCATACCATATGCGTGCATGAGAGTGTCAATTCTGTTTCCTTCATTTCCTCCCATCCAGCATGGTGACAGGAAGCCTGTGTTCGTTTCCAGTCTGCCGCTGTTTGCACAGGACAAAGGTCACATTTGTCACATTCATTTGGTCGTTAACTGTTACTGCTGTGACCCCCGCAGTTACTTTACACAGCCCCAATGCACAAAACCTTTCCTTTCACACACTGTCTTTGTTCTGACTTAGCGATCAACCATTTGAACACAATTTGACAGAAAACTTCTAAAGACTTAGCTTCGTTCAGACTGTTTAGGCTGCAGCAAAGCCTCACAGTGCAGGCTGGATGGAAATGATGCTGTACACTCCCTGCACCAGCCTGATGTCATGACCATCCATCCATCCATCCATCCATCCATCCATCCATCCATCCATCCATCCATTATCTTTACCCGTTTATTCCATTTTGGGTCACGGGGGTCGCCGGTGCCCATGTCCAGCAATCACTGTGCGAGGGGCGGGGTACACCCTGGATGGGTCGCAAGTCCATTACAGGGCCACATAGAGACAAACAAGACAAACAACCATTCACTTTCTCACTCACACCTAGGGACAATTTAGAGTTACCAATCAGCCTAACATGCATGTTTTTGGTCTGTGGGAGGAAACCGGAGTACCCGGAGAAAACCCACGCATGCACGGAGAGAACATGCAAACTCCACCCAGAAAGGCCCCTGGACCGGGGTTTGAACCAAGGACCTGCTCACTGAGAGGCAGCAGCTCTACCAGTTGTGCCACCGTGCTGCCCATGTCATGACCAATCAACCTGAAATGATTCACAAACTTTCCAGGTTCTGACCCACAGTATAACAGTGGCAGAGACTTAGAGCCCCAAGTATTCATGACAGGACGTTCCTGAAGAGAACAACAGAATAATGACAACAGCTCTTTACATCTATTAACTTGTTTCCACTTGAAATGTATACATCCCTGCGGATCGATTACATATTTTAATTATTTATTTGACCAGTCAGTGTATGACTGTTTTCAAATGTGGCAGGAAAGTCTATACATGAGGAGACTTTTTGCATCAGTTACAAAATGAAAGTCCAATTCACATTCATTCAAAAACCATGACACGAATCATCATTCTACTTTACATTCTTATTTAAGTTAAAACTTTGGAACGTCTGAGTGAAATGAAAATAAAGAAAATAATTCATATATAATTTAATTCAACCATATATATATTGTGTATATATCCAATACAGGTGTGCAGTGGAGAGCATCCTGTGCTTCAGCATCAACGTGTGACATGGAGGCTGCACAGCTGCAGAAAGAAAAGCTTTGCAGAGAGTGGTGAAGGCTGCACAGAAGTCTGTTGGAGTCAGCCTCCCCACCATCACAGACATCTACACCTTCAGATGAAGGAAGAGGGCCACCTGCATCATGAAGGACCCCACTCACCCAGCACACACACTTTTTGCACCGCTTCCCTCATGCAGAAGGTCGTGGAGCATTAAGTGTAGAACCACTAGACTGAGGAACAGCTTCTACCCTGAAGCTGTTAGACTCATGAATCTAACCAGGATAGTCATTGTAAGGAAAAATAAGAAAAAAAATAATTGTAATGTCACTTTAATTGCACCACCTGGTGGTGGATGGGTTAAATGCAGAGACTAATTTCGCCATTGTATGGAAACATACAGTGCTGACATTGTGATGATGTTATTATTATTATTAATAGATAATATGTGATTTGTGTGCTGCTGATCTCATGCTGCTGTATTTATTCAAACCCATCTGCTCACCACAGACTCATGTTCGGGCTGCTGTTGATACGTCATATTGTATTTTATATTATTGGTTAGTGTATATCTTAGATCTTTTAGTTATCGTTTGGTGTTCATTTAGCGTATATCTTAGATCCTTATTTATTTAGTTTTTGTTTTAATATTTTATATTTTGCTATTTTTGGGTGTAACTGGGACCCTACATATATATGTATGTATACATGTGTGTATATATACATATATATATATATATGTATATGCATATATATGTATATACATATATATATGTATATACATATATATATACACATGTATACATACATATATATATAAATACATACATATATATACAATTTATATATAAATATATACACACACACATCTATATATATATACACATGTATACATACATATATATATATAAATATATACATATATATACAATTTATATATATATAAATATACACACACACACATCTATATATATATACACACACACATCTATATATATATATATATATATATATATATAAAACTGAGCATTAAAACTTTTTGCACCCAAAGTAAACCTTCCAAAGAAAACTTGGACCTTTAAGAATGTTTCTAATGAAAACACACAAATATCTTTGACTTTAATCTGACAAGTTTAAAACTTTTGTTTTAAACGACAAACTTTATTTACATCCAACAATTACTTGATACGACTGCTTTTATGTAAACCTCTTGCTTAAGCTGATAGTTATTTATTTTTCCTGTTTCAGGGCCAGCAGCACGACTCCTCCAGCACTGAACACAACGAGGAGTCAAAACAAAGTTGGTAAATGCACTTTTATTACAGTCCACATGTGCTCTTCGCTCTGAATGGAAAGTGAAAAACGACAAAGTAATACAGTGATACTTCCATACTGAACCACAGTACAAAAAGAGCGTCATTATGTACAAGATATTTATGTACAAAAAAGCTTTTTTACACGCAGGTATGAAAACAAAAACCATACGTCCTCGACAAACTGCAGCATTACAAAAACAATGCAGGCAACAGTGTGTAGTTTAAAAACAGGCGGCTTAAAAGCCTTTCCATCAGGGGCATAAAAACTCCCCTTTTGACAAGAATAAATTTGTTGTAGTTTTTCGTTAAGTAATGTTTACTGATTTCCCCTCCCCGCACATACACTCATAATTTACATTCTTTCGTTCACGCTCAGCTGCGCTCACAAACACCCAGCCACACACAAATCACACAAGTGTTAAATATGCATCCATCCTCTGGTGTGTTGGTCAGAGCCGGAAACAGAAATGAAGTTCTGGACACCAGTCAGGTGGACTGGAGCTTGACACGTCAGAGGCTACATCGCAGGCACACCAAGGCAATCCTAAAGTCTTTTTTTCAAATATCACCTGCTTCCTCTTTTAGCCACCATGATGTGCTCAAAGAGGACAACACGGCGAGGCTTTAGCAGCATTTGTTCCTCGAGTGTCAGCTGAGTGTCATCATCTGAGCTCACGGTCTCACCTGCACCGCTGACACATTGCAGGTAACTGGACCTGGGTCCTGCCAACAGAAAAAGTGCTAAAAACTCCAAATGAATTGAGGAAAGCTCCTGAGGGGCTCAGAAGTCCACAGAAAGGATCAAACCTCCAGTTCTTGATTGTCTGTGCAGTGGAACCGGTTCAACTTCTCTCTTTCTCGGTTTGAGATGTCTAGTTTGGGGGCGTGAGCTGGTTTCAGTGCTGGGGAGGGGTGTGATGGAGCCGGGGAAGGCGGCAGGGTCAGTTCAATCTCCTCGTAGCAACGTGAGACGGGGGCAGGTGGGTGAGTTGGTGGTGGGGCAGGGGGGACGAGGGGAACGGGACGGTCCACGTTTCTGATCAAGTTGACGAACTCCCTCTGGTTGTTGATGCCTTCCTCCTGTGGGACCGACTGCTGCTTCTTCTTCTTCCGATGGAGGTGGGAGAAGGTGAACGCGCAGACGGCACAGCCACAGACCGTCACCAGGGCTATGACCCCCACCAGGATCATGTAGAAGCTGAGGCCCCCGTGTGTCGTGTCAGACATGGCACCTTCAGAGGAGCAGGCAGAGGTCACACCAGACTTCATTTAAATTTTCTTATATTTTAGATACGAACTGTACTTCTCTTACCTGGACAATGTTGACCAATACAAGGACCTCTGAGGCTCACACACTCGTTGCCAAAGAAACCATCTGGACATGCACATGTGTACTTGCCCTCGGTGCTGTGACACTGCGCCCCCTGTTGGCAGGGATTGGGATTACACAGGTCCAATTTTACCTAAAACCACAAGAGTGAAACAAAATTTTAAGAAAATAATATTCTATTTATCAGCCACCACCAGAAGACAAAGACAGGCGATGATGTTTCCGTGTGTGTCTGTTTGTTAGAAAAATCAGTGGACAAATAAAATTAAAACTCATTAAACACGTCAAAAATCATTATACGTTCCTTTACAAATGATGAACGTTTGGAGACAGCCCATTCAAGATGGCTGCCACAGCCAAGTGACCTTAACAAACACAACAATAACTATAACACAGTCGATTTTTACAATGACCTAAAACTTGGTGCGTTAGTAGCTGAGACTCAGTCACAACACAAATTAAGCATGACATCCTCTGATGCGCAGTTTTATATTCATGGTTTGACCAAAACAACTTTTTTTGGGTCATTTCTCAACATAAGATTATCTCGGTGTAAAACTCTGGTAGGAAAGGTGAAAGGCGGTTTGCGTTCTATCAAGGAATGACAGGCTTTTGTCAACATTTATCAAACAGCAACTTATTTTTTTAATGTCTTCTCATTTTGATCACTTTTCTCATTGACCTGCATTAACGCCTGGCGTTAATTCACTACAGTCGAGTGATTCATTTTGTTTTAAATCAGTTTCCCAACCTCACAGAAGATTCCTGAATGTCCCGCGGGACAGTTGCACGTCGCCGGCCGTCCATCCTGCTCCACACACTGTCCTCCGTTCAGACACGGGGAGCTGTCACAAGGACTCGGACCATTCTGGCAGTATTTTCCAGAGAAACCAGACGGACACAAGCATCTGGACCCCAACAACTGGTCCTGTAAGGGATGTGATATAAGAACAGCTTGTTTGTCATTCATTCAACCTTTATCTATACTGGTTAGTCTCAGTGAGTCACAAGGACTCATTTACAAGAGAGACCTGTTTTTTTGTTGTTCCTAACCGTAAATTGATGTAAAATTTGTCCTGAGTGCAGGAAAAAGCTGATAAATTTATTTTAAAACAGATTATTTTCTCAGTATTCACAAATGTATTTGTGCATTAAACTAAAATAACTCTAAATGATCATTTAATATGATCTAAATGATCATATTAAGCTTCATTACACTATTATACCTATAATATAACAGTTATTTAGGGAAAAACTAGTGATAGAACAGTAGTCCTTTGTTTATTGCGGGGGATCTGCACCCTGAAGCCCTACGATAAGTGAAAAACCACAAAGTAGGAATAGTAGTTCAAGTAGTAAGTAGTAGTTTATTGCAGTATTGATATATATATATATACAGTATTTTTCGCCATACACGTCGCTCCATAAGTTGCATCAGTCCACATTTGTCTAATAAAGTGGAAAAATCCATAAGTATGTTGCTTCGCCGTATACGTCGCATCTATTATGCGTCACCGCTGACAACTTGGAAATGTGGGCAGGTGTTGTGGCAAATGGCAGCCGCGGGAGCATGCACAGGAGGACTTTAACAAGAATTTCACAAGACTAACACTTAAAAACAATTATTTGTTTGCTCGAAATTATAGCAAAGGTGTGTCTCAGTCTAACTTTTGCTTAATAAATGCACTTTGACGGTCAAATCAGATGTATTTCAAAGCCCGATAGGTGGATGTAGGAATGTGCAGAAGGACGAGTTGCTGTGCGTTTCTTCGAAATTTAACAAGATAAACACCTAAAACAATTATTTGTTTGCTTGACTTTATACTAAAGGTGTGTCTCAGTCTAACTTTTCTTTAATAAAAGGACTTTAACGGTCAAATCAGCTGCATGTCAAAAGTATTCACTGCCTCGGTGCTCCAGGGAGCGCACAGACAGGGAGGTAAAAAGGGAGGAGGAATGCTGCGCGTTTTTTTGAACTTTAACAAGAAAAGCACCTAAAACAATTATTTGTTTGCTAGAAATTATAGCAAAGGTGCGTCTCAGTCTAACTTTTGCTTAATAAATGCACTTTAATGGTCAAATCAGCTGCATTTCGCCGGGACGGTGCAGCTGGTTTGACGGTTGATCCAAGCAGCGAGCAGAACGAAGCCGATTGTGTCATTAATAGCTGGTGAAGATTTTCAGTCATCCAGGACATGGTAAATACAAAAAAAGTTCAAGGCAAAAACAATAAGTATAAAGTAAAGTATAATAAATAAAGCCCAGTTGTTTTTGTCTTGAACTTTTTTGAATTTGTCATTAATAGCCACTATTACCTATTATATGACACAACGGCATGCCATACAAAGTGCCATCTTGTGGCTGAAACGGTAGTGTTCAATTTTTCAAGTCAATGAATGAAAATGGTCATATTTCAGCCAAAAATTGGTTTATAAATATGGGGAAAAAAATCCATAAATACGTTGCTTCAGCCTTGAAGTTGCAGGGCATGTAAATTATGCAAAAAACCATGACTTATAGGGTGAAAAATACAGTATATATATGAAAAGTTTTTTAAACCCTTCCCACACTCTTGCAATATTTTAAACAAAATGTTTTTAAACTCTAAATGATCTAAAAGAGCACAGAATGTCATGATTTGTTTTTATTCAGTGCTCTGAGATGACTTTTGTTGTGACTTGGCGCTATATAAAGAAACTGAATTGAATTTAATTGAAATTTCAGCTCCGGCTGCACTCTCGGCCACACCCACTTTTTTTGCTCTGCATGGAGATCAGCTAATCAGCTGCAGGAGGAAGCTTCTCGCACAGCTGTGGGCTGCACACAGGTGCTAAATCATTTAAAATAATTTATTTTAAATAAAAAAATCCATGCCAATCGTGCGGCTCATCCATCAATCAGCCAATTGGTGTGTCATGTCCAATCTTACTTTGAAAAACCGTGACAGAGCGAGTCAGCGAAAAATGAATCGCGAAGTAGCGAGGGACTACTGTATTTGCAATTTTGATTTTAAATAAAGGCAAATAAATCATGCTTTTGGATTTTTGTTCTAATACCATGAAATGTTTGCTCAAGGTTATCATACCAGCCCATGCCTAATAGGGTACTAAATAAAACATGAAGTTGAGGTTTAAAAAGTACCAATAAATAAATAAATAAAGTAGGCACCCAGAATTTAATTTTATATGACATGTAGTGAGGGGCTAGAGACACATGGATCTGACACAAGCAATAATGTTTGTCGTTTTGAGAATACACAGAACTGTAAAGACAGACAAATTTTCTTTTTACATTCCTAATGTTCCAACTGGACTCACCTCGCAGCGTCCGTCGTTTAAACACAAACCCTGGCAGCTGCTGTTCCCTGGAAATGAGAAATAAACACAAACACCTGATGAAACTGTCACAATAAAACGAGATTTTAATAAAACCACAGGCCTGTCAACAATAACATGCAGAAAAAAACAAAAAGCTGACATCATCAATCACAAGCCTGATCCGAATCGCAACCACAGCCAAAACTTCCTTTTTTAGAGCGATATGTGAAAAGCAGCTGCAGGAAAGCCTGAAAACAAACCTTCACTCACGCCTATTGTTGATCTGCTCGTTCAGAGTTTCAGCCTGTGAGAAATGTTTGATGGAGTAAGACGATCTCCTGTTCACAGAAACTCTGAGCTGCAGGAGAACTGATGTTTAAAGGATGCTCATGTTTCACTACCTGCCACAGGACAATCACTTCTCTTGTCTCTTTCAGCTTGTCTCCTTTCTTTTAGTTAGCTTTTTTGATTTGGAGTCCTTTTATACGTACTGATGTCACAGTTAGGGCCGGTCCATCCAGGAAGGCAATCACACAGGTATCCACCGATCAGGTTGCGACAAGAGCGGGCGTGGACACAAATACTCGTTTCGCACTCGTTGGCATCTAAAGACGCAAAGCAAAAAAGACAAGAAAAGTTTCCTAAAAAGCGCAAATTAATACAAAATTACAATTTTTATCGTCAACAATATCTGCAAGGTGTTGAATTTATGCTGAATAGGTGAGTAAATATAAAAACGGACTGATGTGACACCATGCGAGTGTATTTTGTCACGCTGAGTAAACACAAACATCAACTTGTTTAGAATAACTGTACAGGTGAGTCACGTGACGTTTACAACACACATGACTTAAAAGGTTCCATCTAAACCAGTGGAAATTAAATCTGGAGTGCATTTCATTAGACGAAGACTGTTCAACAGTTCGACTTTTAGACGTTTTAATAGATTTTTATTCATCCCTTTGGGGAAATTTGTTGCTCTCATGCTTGCTAATATTTAGAAAGTAATTTATTTCACTGTGCGGGTTAATAAAGGCACTGAAGCTTATTAATGAGATATGTGTTGCCTCTGAGGCCTTCAAGGCAGAGCAGTCTAATTATTATGTGGTTAATGTACATAAGTTTTTGGCACCGAGTGGGAAGAGACCCAGATGAGCTGCTCAACACTAAATATGTGTCAGTGAAATAAAATTTCTCATTAATTCTTTAAGAGATGGCAAAAACTGAATCTTGAATTCAGATCACTCTGATTGCTGAATCTCAGCAGTCAGTGATCTCACTTTGTAGAATCAGAGGGACATTCTCACAAGGAGTTAAGCTAACCGCTAATCAGAAACATGCCCATTTAGGGGTGAATCTAAGCCATGTGAAACAACTTTTCAATCAATCAGAACAATTTTAAGTTTTTTTTTTTTACAGTTTAGGCAGCAGATTATACTTCAGACTGCTCGTGTTGCAAACAGCAACACAGACAGTGCTCTGAATAAACGACCAACTCTGAGCTCCTCCGGGAAAACGGAGCTCCTCACTTCATCTTTAAGCCTGAGCCTCAACACTGTCCAGGATTAAAATCCTGATTTGTGACCTAAAAGTTAAGATTGTAAATAAACCATTAATTTCAAAATCTTAAAACTTCTACGAAAAAATTACACATTATAAAAATTTACTGTGAAGCATTTACTAGAACTGTTGGAACGTATGAAGTTCGGCAGAAATTTGCTTTTAAATGCACCCTGTCTTGAGTATTCAGCGTTTCCCCTACCATTATACAAGCGGGGCGTGCCGCCCTGTCATCAGAACTGAGCGCCCTGTCTACCCCCCCTCCCCCGGTCGACAACTGTTGATATTGATGTAGAGCAGGGCGCAATATAAACAGGCTAGCAAAAATGCTAGTGACATATATCCCCCCTCCCCAGCAAAGTAGCACTAACCTAGCAGGTGGGCAACACAGACATGACTCTGTCCCGTCCTCCTCCACCCACCCTCACCCCGTTGACAACAATAAAATACGACAAGCGCCCGTTCCTGTACCGCTACACCCCCCCCCCCCCCAAAAAAAAAACATTGACCATTAAAATGAATTAATTAAGGAAAAGTTAAACTGAGACACACCTTTGCTATAATGTCGAACAAACAACTGTTTTTAAGTGTTAGTCGTTAAATTTCGAAGAACTGCAACAGCGAGTCCTCCCGTGCGCGCTCCCGCGGCCGCCAATTGATTTTTGGCATAACACCAGCCCACATTTCCCGGGGGTCAACGGTGACGCACAATAAATGCGACTTATTCGCCGAAGCGACTTTTATATGTTTTTTTTCCTCTTCATGATGCTTTTTTTGACTGATGCGACTTGTACTCCAGAAAATACGGTGTGCTGATATGGTAAAACCTGGGAGCTTCTTCAAATGCCCTGACAAACAACGAAGCTTTAAAAGCAAAACTTAATGAATAAATAAAAACGATCAGTCAAAAAATGGTAAATAAGCCATTTACTGTTGCTGAGGGTTGTTTTTAGGATTCAGCTCTGGATGTGAGCTTAGTGTGACTGAAGATAAGGGAATGATGCTGCTGACAGAAATCACTTAAAGGAGAATCGGGATATTCTGACGCTCTTATCGTCTCAGGCTATAAAAAGTTTTCGACTTTCAGTTTGGTGAGCATGCAGGTTACACTGCGAGCTTCTGATCTGCGATGTGGAACCGTGAGGGATTACAAAGTGTCAGGATGACACATCGCTGGAGCACAGAGGAGCAGGGGAGGCTGTCACCCTGAAATATGTGTCAGGTTTCACTTCAAACCCCTGAAGCCTCGGTAAGTCTATATAATGTGCGAGTTTCAGCTCATTTTGTGCGAACCTGCAACACAACAAGCTTCTGGAAGCTTGCACGTCAATATGAGCGAACGCAGCCCAAAGGAACATGACGGTGCATTTATAGACGACTAATTCAAAGTCAGCAAGGGTTGATGGGAAAATTATCATGCTGTTGGCTTCTACTGTCACTTTAATTTGCACTTTTAATTCAGATCACATTTCAAACTAAACTTATTGGAGGGGGGTGGATTCAAGCAGCAAAGTGAAGTTGGTTGCAGGTTTTAGATTTTTAAGCTGTTGCTCATGATGAAATCTTTTAGACAAGCTTGAAAAAACATTTTAAGGTTTTTGTGTTTCATTTGGGGAAGACAACCTCTTCCTGTGGAGTATTGTTTAAACTGAACAACATCCCACTCTTCACAGAAACAGTAGTTATTAAACTGTTTTAAGCATCTTATTTCTGCACATAAAAACAACAGATTGCTCCTCTATTATCCTATTGATAAAAAATAGTCACTATTTAAAATAAATTCCTCAGATTGCTCCTCTATTATCCTATAGATAAAAAATAGTGACTATTTAAAATAAATTCCTCAGATTGCTCCTCTATTATCCTATTGATAAAAAATAGTCACTATTTAAAAGAAATTCCTCTCTCCCTGTGGTCTTGTGCAGTTTTACGTTCTGTTTTTGATTTTCCTCCGTCTCTGTGTTCAGTTAGTCGTCACTCACGTTAACAACTCTTTGGTTTTCTGGCAAATTGTCTTGGTGCCCAAACGTTTTGTTTTCTTCCCGCTCAGTAATTTTGTCTCTGATTTGAATTTGGTTTCTTTTGATTTCTTCTGTTGAGCTTTTTCCACGTGGCATTTTAAACCTTTGTAGTTTAGTTTTTTTTGTTTTTTTTTACTTTTCCTTCTCTTTGCATGCAATATGTGAACTCAGATTCTTCGCAATGTTTTCATAATTTTAGCTTTCAGCTACTGTTCTGCTAATTTTAGCTAATAATTACTTTTTTGTTTTTCTATTTAGCTTAGAGCTTGCCTTTTGCTATTGAGCTTTTAGTGTATTGCTAATTTTATCTTTAAAGTTAACCTTTTGATACATTTAGCTTTTGACTAGCTTTTAGCTACATTTAGCTTTTAGTTTGTGTTTTGCTAATCTTTTCTGTTAGCCAGTATTTAGCTACTTTTAGGTTAAAGTGAGCCTTTTGCTACATTTAGTTTTTAGTGTGTGTTTAGTTATTTTTACCTTTCAGCTAGCATTTTCCGACTTAGTTTTTAGCTAGCCTTTTGCTACATTTGGCTTTTAGTTGGTGTTTTGATAACCTTTTCTGTTAGCCAGTATTTAGCTACTTTTAGTTTAAAGTTAGCTTTTTGCTGCATTTAGTTTTTAGTGTGTGTTTAGTTATTTTTACATTTCAGCTAGCATTTTCTGACTTTTAGATTTTAGCTAGCCTTTTGCTACATGTGGCTTTTAATTGTTTGTGTGCTACATTTAGCTTTTAGTTTGTGTTTGCTAATCTTTTCTTTTAGCCAGTATTTAGCTACTTTTAGTTTAAAGTTAGCCTTTTGCTACATTTAGTTTTTAGTGTGTTTTGCTATTTTTACCTTTCAGCTAGCATTTTCTGACTTTTACATTTTAGCAAGCCTTTTGCTACATTTGGCTTTTAGTTTATGATTTGTTATTCTTTTTATTTAACAAGCACTTAGCTACTTTTATCTTTATTATATTTTTGCAACGTGTATTTTTTTGTTTGCGTTTTGCTATTTTTAGCTACTGTTCTGTAACTTTTAGCTTTTAGCTAGTGTTATACCCCTGTAAAGGAGAAAGGGGAAACAAAGACAGTGTTACTTCTGTCACCTCCAGTGTTGTAATGTTCTTTCAAGAACAGTTTTCAGTATAACATTGTCACATAAAAAAAATGTAATTCAGTTACAAAAATAAACAATGAACCACACAGCATTAATTGCTCAAGATGTCTTTGTGCCAACACAAATCAAGACTTCATATATATCTTCAGCATGAGCAGCAGACTACACAACTACAGCATCATATATAAACCTTACATGTAACAATATGAAAACATAAATCAATTATCTGTGCATCATACATATCTAACTAGACTGATGTCTTACAAAGTTACAGCTATTAAAAACATTATTTCACTCATATAAAACAACATAACATTTTAACCACAAAATATCTTCCCTGAGTCCTGAACATTGCTCACAAACATTGTGGGTATACCTGCATGGCAACATCTGTGCATGGGACACAGTTGGCAAGAAAACTGCTGAGTAAAACTCTTATCAAAGCCACATTTACTCCAGCTGTTAAGGTTACTGCAGACATTTCCTACTTGTTTCCTAAACTCAGTGACCATAAATATAGTTATAAAACTTAGTCAGAATGTTTACCTGTAAGGTGAAACAGACAAAGACACAGTGTTACTTCTGTCACGTCCAGTGTTGTAATGGGTGAGCAGAAGCAACACATTTCACCTGTGTTAGTTTAGACATAACTAATAGAGACACGATCAGTAAATAAAACTCTCAAAACATAAACTTTGAAATTGTATCACTCTCTAAAGTCTATAAACAATTATAGTCAGAAAAGTAACATTAAAAAAATGTATTTAAGATGTGTTATTATTCTACTGCATCATTCTGTGACCCTTGAACTGCAAGACCAGAAAATTTGATCATAGATATTTAGATCAGTAATCACAGTGCATCTTACTCCCATGAATTTTTCTTCAACTGAGGAATGAATTATGGTGTTTTTTTTCCATTTACATTTCCCAAATATTACCATGAACCAAATACAATTTTAGCCAAATAATACAAAACAATAACATTTTTCTTAAGTTTTTTTTGTCCATTTTTTTTAACTGAAACAATTTTATAATCACTACACTAGCTTGTTGCTACTTTTAGCATTTACCTAGAATTTTAGCTAGTGCTCTGTTTCTTTTACCAACTCAGTTTCAGCTTTTTCTGAAAAGTTCAGCACTCAGTATTCACACTGCATTTTTGCAGAAATTACAGTTTCTCTGGTTTCTTTTTAAATGAATTTAGTCATTTCTGAACTCTGTTATGATGTTCTTTGTTTTAGGGGCATTTGAAGCAACAGGCTATATAATTCAGAAGCATCAACTCGCTACAGATACATTAAATGTATAACAGATCAACTCCATTGTAACTGTGACCCACTGACCCAGCTGGCATGTCCTGCCGGTCCATCCAGGTGGACAGAGACACCGGAAACCTCCCGGAGCCTCCTGACACGTCGCTCCACGCCCACACGGGCTGCGATCACACTGCCTCACCGCTGAGAGGGGAAGAAGATAAAATACATGAGCTACTGGTTTGTGTAATGAGACTGTGTGTTAGGCGCACACTCGGTTGGTGTGATGCCACCATGTGTGTGATCTGAACTGTAGTATTAGCATGCTGCGGTGGTGGATGTTTTCATTCTTCTTTGTGCTGCTCTGATTTCTGTGTACACACAGATAAATACAGTCATCGGCTGCGAGTACATGACTGACACTTCAAACCGTTCACCAGAGAGGAGGAAAAAAGGGGTGAGTGGGTTTAAAAAATGGAAAGGATGAGGGGAGAATGACGAACAAAATGCAAAACTGGAGCCTTTTTCCACTTATCTGTGAAGGAATCAAGCAGATAAACAAAGAGAGGAAAACAAGAAGAAGCTATTTTTAACCAAGCGTAACTTCAGAGGGCATTTTTGTGCAGTAGTGGCGTCCCAGCTTTCCCATATTTCACTTCAAGAGCTCTCAGTGTCTCTCATAACCTTTTTTTCATTTACCTAACCCTGCAGAACAACAATTTTCCATCTCTCTGACCCCAACCCTCAGCAATAACAATCCCGCCAAACTACAGCGGCTCTTCTCCCAAAACGAGACAGAGAATTCATAACAAACAAAGAGGCCTTTAATTAATATCCGTTATACATATAAATCAAGTCTGAAAATGGAGCTGTGTTGTGGTTTTGGGATTTTAATTCCCTGCAAGCCTGACGATCCTCTTGCTGTGTTTCCCCCGACACCCCACAACAACACATCTAGAGATAGACGGCCTCCCTGACTGTAAATCATCAGAGCAACAAACAACAAGAGTAAAAATAAACTGTTCCTTTCGTCCCCTGTTTGTCTCTCTCTTCATCTCCATCTCTGAGTTTTGTTTTTTTCTTGCCAGAGTCCGACCTGCGGCTCTGTTTATCCTGATGGAGGTGATCGCAGAGGATGTGGAACGCCGCTTGTTTACACAAACAGCTCTGACGGACCATGAACTGTGAGATCAGATCTCACAGGCAGTCACAAACAACACGAGCTCAAACCCACCGTACGGAGGAGGTTCACACGCACAAAGGTCACATGACCTGAGGCCAAAGCATGCAGATCTGATGGCAGACTACAACAAGCCTGACCTTTATCAACGGTAGGCACAAGGTGATGCAGACGACAGGTTTCACACACCTCAACCCGTGGGAACTCATACCGTTAAAACATTTCCTGGAATTGACAGTGTTTGAAACGGTGGCTGAATTTACAATATTAGTGCAAAATGGTGATCCTGGTGGGAGTGGTGGCGCAGAGGTTAGAGAAGGTGAGCCTGTGATCGGCCACTCCCTGGGACCCTGAGCAAAGCCCTATAAATAAATAAAAAAGTACAAAATATGATCATTATAGTGCTAAATTGAACATTTTGGAGCTTTAATCGTAGCTGCAGTAAGTGCAGTCCGGCCGAAGAGGAGATATATGGATGCAGTTAGAGAGGACACAGAGGATAGAGCGAGATGGAGGAGGATGACTCGCTGTGGCAACCCCTGAAAAGGAAACAGCCGAAGAAGAAGCTGCAGTTAAAAGGAAAGACTGCAAAGATTTTGCTGTATGAAATTTGACAAACATGTTCAAGAAAAGGAAGAATGGAGCATGAGATTGACAGATGATTGGTGAAATATCGACAGTATTGTGGATTCTGTGTCGGTCCGTTGAAGCTATAATAGTCTAGAAGGATGTATTATAGGTAATGGTTTAATATTTTAAACACAAACACTTGATTTTAATTTCCTAGCTTAAGAAACTCCAGAAATTACAATAATTTCTTTCTACATATCTGTGCACACAAGTGTTGTTTGAGTCAACAAATACCGTATTTTCCGACGTATAAGTTGCTCCGGAGTATTTTTTTTATTTTTTATTTATCCAGGTTAGTCTCATTGAGCCACGAGAACTCATTTTCAAGAGAGACCTGTTTAGGGAGCACATGGTGGGGGTTAAGGGCCTTGCTCATGGGCCCAGAGTGGGGCGAATGAGGGTGGGGGCAAGTGTGGGTGTTTCACCTACCCCACCCACAATTTTGATGTTGTCGGGGCCGGGGCGTGAACCGGCGATCTTCGGATCACAAGCCCACCTCTCTAACCTCTGCGCCACCACTCCCCCATAAGTATAAGTCGCATCAGTCAAAAAAAGCATCATGAAGAGGAAAAAAAACCATAAAGTGGCTTTGGCGTATAAGTCGCATTTACTATGCATCACCGCTGCATTTATTATGCATTTATTTAATGGTCAAAACAGCTTCATTTCGCCTGGGCGGCGCCTTCCATCCATCGTGGCCGGAGCTGCTAGCTCTCCAGCGTTCCTCTGCCTGCACCAGCTGAGTGAAGCGAGCGTGCATGGGAGGACTCACTGTTGCAGTTCTTAGAAATTTAAAGCGTCAGTCAAAAATTGCATTATGAATATGGAAAAAAAAAGTTTATAAGTCGCTTCGATGTATAAGTCGCAGGACTGACAAATTCATGCAAAAAAACCTGCAACTTATACGTCGGAAAATACGGTACTCTTTAGTCACCTGCTGGATCAACTTTCATAATTATAGTTGAGCTGGACTTGTTTACTCTTTACAATGACTTGGGTTGTAAATCGGCTTTAGATAAATAAACTGGATTAAATGGATCCTATTAACACTGAAAAACAGCTTGTTTAATGATGGACTGTGAAGAGTGTAGAAAGTAAAGAGCCCGTTTCTGCTTTTAGAGCTGATGAGAACTTTTAGATTCATGTTTACTCGTAAGCTAATGTGTACATATTCGAACAACTCAAGCTTCAGTTCTTATGAGAAAATTGACAAACATGAGATTAACTTTAGCTTAAAGTGAGCACAGCATTCGTTAAATTAAAGCCCTATCATTCCTTGAAGGAATGCATATTGACCTACTTGTTTCTCATAAATAGAATAATTTAGTGTCACAAAATGAGCTATAGCTGTTTTAGTCAAACCTTGAAAAATAATGTTATGTATGATCACACACACAATCTGTAATGTTCCTGATATGTGTTGAGGGAGGCTCTCAGCTATTACCTCAGCAAATTTTAGCTCATTATTTTTAAAATTCACTGAGTTTTAGCCATTTTTGTGTTTGCTATGGTTGATTAGCTGTGGCAGCTGTTTTGAACTGGGTTCATTCCAAAAGTTAATTAGTTTTAGATGTGTATCAAATAAATAGTTTATGAGACTTGTATTAAAATCCATCCTGCAGTTCATGAGATATTTTGTTTACAAGCAAACACACAAGCAAAAACGTCTTCGGTCTTCCCACACAACACCACATACAGCTCATAAATAGGTACCAGTTAATGTATATGGACTTAGATTAAATATATCCAGTGTTTCAAAGTCTAAATAACCAAACATGTATTTTTCATTACAAAATGGTAATATTTTGAATAATCCAAGTAAGAGGCCAATAAGCTGACCTCACACAGCACAAATAGTTGCTGTGTAAAAAAAATAAAAAACAAGCATAAAAGAAACGAGATCAATTGCAATTCCAGCGAAAATGCAGTGTGAATGCTCATTGCTGAAGAACTTGCTGAAAAACAGCATTAGCTAAAAATATGCTGAAATGTAGCTGAAATGGAAGAACAAGCTTAAGTTAGTATAAGAAACAAGAAAGAACACACATTTGCTGAATGTGATTTAAATAAGCAGAAATTAGCACAAAAAAATAGTAAATTCACTAAAAAAGCTGAAATCAGCAAAAAATAGCTGAAAAGTAGCTGGAAAGGCAGCAAGAAGCTTAAATTACCAGAATAAAGCAGAGAGAGCACGTTTGCCCAATTATGCTTAAAGAAGCAGAAATTAGCACAAAAAGTGGAAATTATCTGAAAAAAGCAGACATTTACAAAAAACAGCTGACTAGTTAAAAAAGTAGAAAGAAGCTTAAATTACCAGAATTAAGTGGAGAGAGCACATTTTTGCTGAATTAGGCTGAAAAAAGTTTAAATGTGTGCAAAAATGTGGAATTAGTTGAAAAAGCTCAAATTAGTATAAAAACAGTTAAATAGTAGCTGAAACAGTACAAACAGTTGAAATGCAGAAATAAGCTGAAAGAAGCATAACAAGCTGAAATTAGCAGAAAGAAGTTAGAATAACAAAAATGTTGTGGTTATCAGAATAAAGCAAAAGGAGCACAAAACAGCTGGAAAAAACCCCAGCTGAAATTAGCTGATTTTTTTTTTTTTTTTTGGCACAAGGAAGCTGAAAGAAGCTGAACCAGAACAAAATGTGAAAGGAGCAGTAAAAGGTTGTAAACAAATCTAAAGATTTGAAGGATGTAAAATTAGCTCAATTCATTTTCTATGATTAAAAAATGGCAGAAAAAGCTAAATATTTCAAAAAGTTAAAGTTGCACCTATACCAAAAGTCATAGCATTCTTCTCCTGAACGAGCTGAAAGTTTTGATATTTGGTGTTTTGATATATGATTTGTAGGCCTGTCACGATAACAAATTTTGTTGGTCGATTAATTGTCTCGAAAATTATTGCGATAAACAATAACATTGTTTGAAATTTGACAATAATTAGTAATTATTGTTAAATTTAAGAAGAACTGTTGTGTGTAGTACCTTTTTTGTTCACCAGGTGGCAGACTGTATGAACCGAAGGATGGATAGTGAGGGAGCGAGCAGTGTGTCTCTTTAGGAAAAATGGGATGGAGGCCCCTTGACATGACATGGGCTGTCTCTCCTTCCTTTTTTTCCCAATTCTCAAAATGGCGAATACTCTGTGTGGTTGGAGCTCTTTGGCATAGCATTTTTCACACAAAGCTTTTAATAAAACAATCAGTAAACAAGTTCTCAGCTTCTTTTTGAAGAGAAAAACAACTTTTTCCACGAAGGCACGAGTTTCAACCGTGAATTTTGGAGCTTTGACAAGATGGAGGTTCCCCCCGAGGTCGGCCTGTTAGCTTAGCTCGTAGCATAGCTTCTCAGCTTAGCTGCTTTTAACGATCGAAAAACGTGATTTTGGACGGTTAAATGGATTTTAAAGAGAAAAGAGAAAGGGAGGGGTCAGTGAAGAACATCGGAGTTGAGCCTTTTTGTCACCCAGTGTCTTCAGTAGAAAGAGAGAGACGAAGAAACGATAAAGCCGATAAATGAAAATGAGGTTGATAATTTTCAATGATTTGTTGAAAAAAAATAATAATAATTTGCACTAATATGAAGCTGAGTTTAAACAACATTAATGCACAGCAAAAAGTTCCTCCACAAAGTATCTCAGATTTAAAATATTGTAACTTTTAAGAGACAGAAGTTTAAACTGGTTGTTTCAGACAGAAACAACTTAAGCATAAATCTCACCCATCACCACCAAAATAAAATTACCGATTCGTCAGGATGTTCATTCATTCATAATCCCATTATGTCACGAGGACTCATTTACAAGAGAGACCTGATTTTTTTATTTTTTAGATCTAATGTTGGCTTTTTAAATCTAGAGGCACCTTTTTGATGTCTTATAGTGACTTGAACTTAAACATACATTTTTAGATCTGCAGCTAGAAAACAACAAGCAGACTGAAACTGGTGCTTTTTATTGTTGCTGTGAGTTCAGTCTTTTATGATCGTTTGGTGTTACTGGTTTTTCACCCTCATAATGGTTAAAGTTGTGTTTTCAGGCTGTGCATATTCAGAGGACAAACGTCAGGCTGCGGAGCCACAGACCTTTGAAGACAAATGCCAACAACAACATGTCATTCATCTTCCAAACACAACTGTGTATTTGTGTGTTGTTATGTTCAGCAGTGGTTTCTGATCGCAGAGCAAACAAACTTGGATAAAATGTCTCTTGGTTTTAATTTTTTCTCACGGACACACACGACAGGAGAACTGAATGTTGCAACACAAACTCTGGTGTTTGAAAGTAATGACTGCTGTGCTTCAGTGGTCGCTTGTCTGAGGGATTCAACCCTACAGAGAAGAGTGATGTTCACTCTTGTTTGGTGACCGAGAGGTAATCCAGAAAAAACAAGCACCTGTTTAGCATTTCATTATTCTTAAATGTAACTAGAGAATTGCATTTCCTGCAAAAATGCAGTGTGAATGCTTATTGCTGAAGAACTTGCTGGAAACTGCTGAAATTAGCTAAAATACATACTGGATTTTAGTTGAAAAGGAAAAACAAGCCTAAATTAGCAGAAGAAAGCAGAAAGAACACATATTTGCTGAATTAGGTTTAAATAAGCAGAAATTAGCACAAAACATGTGAAATTAACTAAAAAAAAAAACTGAAACTAGCAAAAAGTAGCTGAAAAGGCAGAAAGAAGATTAAACTCCCAGGAAATGGAAAGAGTTGAAATGAGCTAAAAAATGTGGAATTAGTTGAAAAAGCTAAAATTAGCATAAAAACAACTACATTGTAGCTGAAATTGCAGAAAAATCTGAAACTAGCAGAAAAAAGCTGAAAGGTGCATAACAAGATGAATTTAGTATAATGAATTAGTTAATTAGTTTGAAAGCAGCAAAAATTATCACGAAAAACTGGAATTTGTCTGAAAACAGCTGAAATTAGCTAAAAAAAAAAAAAGGCAGTTGAAAAGGTAGAATAAGCTTAAATTAGTGGAAGGAAGTAGAGAGAGCCCATAGGCTGAAAAAAGCTAAAAACTCAGAAAAAAGCTTAAATTACTAGTAGAAAGTTGAGAGAGCACCTTTTTGCTGAACTGGGCTGATAAAAGTCAGCATAAGTGCAAAATATATTAAATTAGCTGGAAAAGTTAAAATTTGCATAAAAACAGCTAAATAGTAGTTGAAATAGCAGAAAACGCTGAAACTTGAGAAAGGAGCTAAGAGGAGCATAACAAGCTGAAATCAGCAGAAAGAAGTTAGAAGAAGTACAAAAATGTTGTAGTTAGCAGAAAGAATATAAAAGGATCACAAAACAGCTCAACACCCCCCCCCCCCCCAAAAAAAAGCTGAATTAGCTGAAAGTAGCTGAAAAAAGTTTAAATTTGCAAAAGAAAGCTGAAAGAAGCAGAACCAGAACAAAATGTGGAAGGAGCAGTAAAATGTAAAAACAGATCAAAAGATATGAAAGATATGAGCTTAATTAATTTTCTATAAAAATAGTGGCAGAAAATGCTAAATATTTCAAAAAAACTAAAGTTGTACCAATAACAAAAGTAATAGCGCCTTTCTCCTGAAAGAGCTGAACGTTTTGATATATGATTAGTTGAAACAGCACAAAAACTGTAGAATGAGAAAGATGCTGAAAAACGTATGGAAGAACAATTGATCACTGACAGTGTGAATGCTTCATAAACATTCACACTGTCAATGATTTATTTACTGTTCTCATACAGGAAGCAATTTTTGGGTTCAGAGTTTAGTTTTTCAGTATTTAAACAGACAACATCGTCTTGCTTGTGTAAACTACAGAGGTGTGTACGTGCTTTAAACCACTGATAATCTTTTTAAAGTGGTCGGATCAAGTTTTTTAATGGACTGGCTGCTTTTTCACTCATTTTCTGTCCAGTCCTTACATCGGATCATGACAGCATATTGTGCAATGTGTGCTTAAAAAATGGAAGATAAAAAAGACGTGTCTGGTTTAACAACAAACAAACAAACAATTTACAGCAGATGGATCTTAAAAAAGCCATATCTTGGGTAAAATAATAATTAAAAAAAAAATCAAAGACCTGAAAGATTCATTATCTTTCAGTTGATCTTCAATTGCTTAACAAATTTCCAGCTCTTTGAAATCACTCTGCTGGTGCTAAAATATTATTTTCTGTTTGTCAAACGGAGTTGTCTCTGGTATTTTGTTAAATTCAAATACAGAATTAGGAACAAGTTGTGTCTTTGTGACAGGCTGTTGGCAACTAAGGATCCCATTTTGAATTATAAAGTTATTTACTGACAACTGGTTGATCGTTGGGAGCTTAAGAGATTTTATTCATGACTGATTCATAGGTCAGAGTCAGGTAGTTTAACAAACAAACAATTTGTCAGGTACAGGAACTGGACATGGAATGAGTGAAAAAGCAGCAAACATTTTAAGAAAAACTTTGAAAGAACTTCAGAAAGTTTTGAAGAAGTGCTGCACAAAACCACTTTTAAAAATGAAAAATATAAAGAAATGAGGGCTGACTAAAAACTTCTGCAACGTTACAAGCCTGAGTACACAAAAGCCCTCTGAGACACTGGAAGATTAGACTATAAACCCTTTAACTGGAGCCATTAAAGACTCCTCTGTTTTTTTTAATCAGTAGATTAAATCTGCTCTTCTTCAGGTTTGTTTAAATTAGCTAGTTTCACAAATAGTTTCACACACACAGAGCCAGACACAGAGCGGGACACACCACTGATTGTTGTTGATACCGTTTGTGTTCAGACTAATTTCACTTCCTTTCTCAAATTGATTAGGATCACTGAGTGGCTTTGATCTAATTATACCCAGTCACAGATAATCTTAAATCTGCCCTTCCTCTTAGCTCAGACTTCTCATGTGTGCAGCGTCGACACTCACCGTCTGTACAGGTGTTTCCGGTCCAGCCTTCGGCGCAGGTGCAGCTGAAGCCCGTTGGGTTTTCCACACAGGTGGCTCCGTTCATACACGGAGACGACAGACACGCATGTTCTACTACAGGGAGGAAAGAGGCAGAACGAGAGAAAAAACCGAGGAAGCAGCTGGAGTTTATTTATGTAGCTGCCATTATAACAGAAGATTAAAGATTATTCTTGTAATTGCTTATTAACTTGTGATCCGCTCACCACAAGGCTTTTTTTAATCTCTGTAAATAAACAGGACTGATGATGACATTTAGCGTAAACAGTTTTCAGAACTCACCGATGTCACAGTTTCTTCCTCTGAAACCTTCCTGGCACTCACACTGGAACTCGTTTGGCTCTGTGTTGGTGCAGGTCCCGCCATTTTTGCAGGGCTGATGGGTGCCACAGTAGTTCAGATCTGAAAACACGTGGAAAAAAGGCACTTTTAGGTTATCGTTTTATATTCTAGCTTGCAGAGCAGAGATGCTAAAGGCACTGGGAAGATACAACCATTTGAAACACAACAAACCTAAAGTGAATTCAGGTCAGCTCGGTGCGCTGACTGTGCAGGCCAGAAGCTGCTAGGTCTATTGTTCCCAGTGTTGAGGCAGATTAAAGCTTTGCCTGCTCTGATCATGTCCATGCTGTCTTTGTCTTACTGCCACTCTTTAAAGAGCCTCTCTGAATACACCGAAACAGCTCAGGACCCCACCTAGCTAAGAGCGCCCAGCCCAGCCCAGCCCCGCTCACATTCACTTTACCCAAGGCTATCGCCTTTCCTCTCTACAAAACGCCGCTCCCCTGGGCACCTGCTGCTCTCCAGCTCCTGCACCGGGACAGAGGATCACATTGGACCAACTTTGCCAGAGTGTGGTGGGAAAAGTCAGAGAGAAAAAGGCGAAGCCCTCAAGTAGTTGTTTCATTATCCCATACAGGGGATCATTACCAGAAAGACGTGTGAATAGTGACGCCTGACGATCTGACGGTGTTCACACAATGTTTCTCTGTCAGACCAGGCTATCCTTGGCCAACATACAAAACACCAAAAAGCTCTTCAGTGCTAAAGTGAACAATAGTAATTAATCCACATAAAGAATAAAGAGCTTTATACAATAGTAAAAAAAATACACCCAGAAATAACCGCTCTGATGTGGCCATCTTTATTCTCCTCCATGGTTTCTGTGATTAGAGTTTACATATCTTAGTGTAATGATCAGTTTCTGATTCATGTGCATTATTTTTTTCTCAGGATAAAAAAAAAAAAAAATTAAAGTCTAGCATGTCTTGAAGAAATGTATCTTGCACACTGCTTTTCAAACCGGAGTTTAAACTGAGATCATCTCATTTTGAGAAACGATGAAGTCAACCCTTGAAAAAGATGCCACAAGCGACCTCACAATAATGCAAGATGTCAGGCTTAGAATATGGGTCGTAAATGAACCGCAGCTATGACAACCACAAGCAAAGATGACTAAGTTATAGCCATTTTTGTGATGACTAAGGTTGATTATCTGTGGCTGCCAACTTGAATTAAACTGATTCCAAAAGGTACTCGGCTATAGATGTACAACCAATGATTACTTTCTGCAAGTTTCATTAAAATCCGTCCATATGTTCACGAGATATTTTGCTAACAAACATCAGTGGTGGGCAATAAAACCACTTGACCGATTAACATTTTCTTCTCTGTTCATTCAACAGAATACATTTTATTTATACATTTATCAGACCTTTGTTGCACAGCAGTCCTCCCCAGTTGACGTCACACACACACTGCCAGGGCTCGGTGCAGCTGCCGTACACACAGCCGGGGAACGTCTCACACTGATCACAGAAAGGACCCGTCCAGCCATAATGACACCTGAAGGCAGAGCAGGGAGACGGAGATGCTTTATATCAGGGGCTCTCAAACCTTTTGGGTTCAGGGACCCCCTCATAACCCTCATGTTTATTAAATAATTTTCTTCAATCTGTCTCTTTAATACAGAAGAACTATTTGTGTGACATAAATACTTGAGACCTGTTCTTTAATAGTGTTAATACAATCTTTATATTTTTCAACATGGGCTATTTTTCATTCTAGACACACTTCATTAACAACATTTTTTATTTCAACTTCCAAAATTTACAGTTTTGAGAAAATTAGCAGCATCAAAAACCACTTTAAAACTTTACCTATTCACATAAATGTATTGTCACTTCTTCGAAGTATTAAAGAAAACTCTTTACATAAAACTGAACAGAATCATAACAGCAGTAGTCTTATGAAGTAACAGGTAGTGTTTCCCCTACCATTATACAAGCGGGGCGCCGCGCCCCGTCAACCGAACCAAGCACCCCGCCTACTAAATCGAACTGCGCGCACCCCACCCGTCGGCACTGACGTAGCTTAGTGTTGTATTGCGCAGGCGCGCTAGCTAAAAAGCTAAAGGCTTTCTGTGAATGTTATTAATTTAACTAGGGAGACATTCTTGAGATTCAAAAGAAACTCTTAACCGAGCTGGGCATTATTATATCTTATATAATTATTATATAGGGCCTTCTCTGTTGCAGGTCCAAGACTGTGGAATGACTTACCACTATATGTCAGGCAGGCCCCCTCTCTCTCTGTTTTCAAGTCTCACTTAAAAACTCACTTTTGGTCCTTGGCTTTTGACACTGTGATTTTCTTTTTAACTTGTCTGTATTCACCAATGTTAGTAATTTATTTATTATCTTATTCCATTCTGATCTACGTTTTTTTTTGTTTTGTTTTGTTGCTGTGCCCTTTGTTTGTTTCAGCTGTACAGAACTTTGGATGGCCTTGTTGCTGTTTTTAAGTGCTTTATAAATAAAGTGGTATGGTATGGTATGGTATGATATGATATGGTTGGTATGGTATATGATATGATATGGTATGTTATGATATGATATATGATATGGTATATGATATGATATGTTATGGTATGGTATGATATGGTATATGATATGGTATGATATGGTATGTTATGATATGGTATATGATATTATATGGTATGGTATATGATATGATAAGGTATGGTATGATATGATATAATATGATATATGATATGATATGATATGATATGATATTATATGATATGATATGGTATGGTATATGGTATATGATATGGTATGGAATGATATGGAATATGATATGATATGGTATGATATGATATATGATATTATATGGTATGGTATGGTATGATATGGTATGATATGATATGGTATGATATATGATATGATATGATATGATATGGTATGGTATAGTATATGATATGATATG